CCTCTCCAGCCACATCTGGGTTGGTCTATTCATACTCTCAGCATTCTATGTGCTCTAACGAATGCTCAGCCTTTTCTGCTTGGATAAGGAGCTTTTTAAGTTACATCTATTATATGTATATCAACATTTATGGCAGCAAGATAATTACCAAAGTGCTCAGAGGATAAAAGATCCTTCTTTATAATGTTCCCACCCCCACCCCCCATCCATTTTTTAAAGAATCAGTATTAACATTGAGCAGGACAGTAGTAGATTCCCGCATGGCTGCTGCATCCTCAAATTTGGAAACGGGAGTTTTAAAAAGCACCCAGCTGGGCTAGGAAGAAAAGATTGAACAGTGAGCTCAGAGCCCCGACTACAGTGGGCCACATGTGTGTAGAGGGAAAGCCTTTTTGTCCTTGAAATCTTTACTAAGTAACTGTAAAGCAGAAAATCTGCTCTATATTAGATGAGTCCTTTGGAAACATGCCCATCTAATTTCAAAGAGTTTAGATCCCGGTATCTGTAAACCAACCCAATGATTAGGAGGCCTGCCGTCAACAAGTCCTGAGATCACTGGATTAAGGGGACTGGACAAGAGGCCCTCTGGGTTGCCTTCCAGCCTCCAACATCTATGCTTCTGGGTTAGGAGTTCACACTGGCAAAAGACACAAAGAGAGGGAACACTTCCCACTTTTATATTGTTTTGATTGGCCTTCTGCCAGTATTTACTCCTTCTTCTCCCTGTCCCTCAAAGTTTCAGCCCCATTTCTTTATAGAGCTCTTTTTCCCAATGATGTCTCACTTGCCCAAAAAATGACTATTTCATTCACAAATCACAGTGTTTGTTAGAGCTGGAAGGGACTCAGTCAGACTCTGTGGTTATGGAGGGGGGAGGAAGAAATAAGAAGGGAGGACGGACTTGCCCAAGATCACTCTGTCAATTAGTGTGAAGAGTGTACTCGAATACAACTGTGCCAACTCCTGGGCTAATTCTCTCTCCAATGCATTGCTGCAGAAAAAAATTCAGAATCTTAGCAGAAAAGGTTTATTGCATATAGGAAGCCCCTTTAAAGAAGGAGAGTAGCCCAACAAATGTCAGAAGAAATCACTTGTCTGAAATCAGTTCCTGCCCATTTCATAAACCCAAACAGCAATTGAGTTTCCTAGGAATGATCTTTTGACAGGTGCATTTTAAGCCTTTCGGTGATCAGCCTAACAGTGAAAAAATGATATTAAATATGCTGGCTAAGTTTTAAAAATATCCCTTTCTTTGGTGAAAAGGATGGACAACAGTAAGTCTCCTACCTTAAGATGCAACGAGTGTGTGTAGCCCCCACTCTCAGTCCAGCAACAGGCTATTTCCGGGTTGAGGTTAAAAATTCAATGACGTTCCTGTTTCAACCCACACATCTGTGTCACTGTCAGCGTCAGTGGCAGGAAAACAGACAAAGTCACCCTTTGCTAATGATTTCCTAACATGGAATTTCCTTGTATCTCCTCAAGCCTTTCTTCTTCCAACGCCAAACTGTTTTTTTTTCGTCTCTCAAAACACACTGTACTGAAGGCAAACTGAAAATGGTCATGACCAGAGAACGATGCTTTAGATCTTATAAGGAAGAGCTGCAGCGTTTTGTGATATTTTTAAGGGTGGGAGGACTGCTAGTTTTTCTAAAACCAAGTAGGAACAAAACAGAGATTTCCTCTCAAGACATCTGGGAACCTCTCAGCCCCTCTTTCTTTCCCTTTTCCTGCCTCCCTCTTCCCAAGCACCACTTTGAGTAACATTCTTACATCAGTGTTGAAGGAAACACACACTGGAGGGACGCATGGGGAGAGGCCAAGGCTGTCCCAGAGCCAGGGACAGGCGCTGGAGAACCACCAAAGCACAAAGCAGTATAGGAGCCCATCATGTCTCTCCTCTGGAGGCTATCCTATTTAATATGCAAGCAGGCCATCAAGTGAAAAGAGGGCTGTTACTTTAAGGGGGAAGAAGCTCATTAGCTGCTCTGGCTGGCAGCAAACAGCTGGTCTGTCCGGCAGGTTCAAGGCCATTTCAGCTTTTCTCTTATGGAGGCACCATATGTTCCATCTCGCACATCAGCAGCTTTATTTTCCAATGATCTTGCTCCAGAAGGGAAACACAAAGGGGGGAGCGGGGAGGAGAAGGTAGAGCCTGTGGTTTACCCTTTGAGTACTTTCTTGTGGTTTGAGATGCAGTAGGGATGGGGCGGGGTGGGGTGGGGGGCAGTTAACGCTTCGCCTCCTATCCCAAAGACCAGAGAACAAATGTTTGACCGACACTTAGGCATAACCTCTAGAGATGGGAGGGCTGCGGAACAGGGGAAAGATACGCATAAAGGAACAAATAATACGCTCCCATGAGATTAAATGGGATAAAGTGGCGGAGGCGGCGAGAGATAGGGAGGAATCCTACTTCGCTCCAAGACCCAGCAGTCAAGTTTGGACCCCGCCCTCTTCCCCTTGTCTATTTTTTCTTATTGTCAGTATTCCCTTTCCGAATCAACTTCACAGCTCGGGGGCGGGGGCGGGGGCGGGGGCAGGCTGTGAGACTGGCAAAAGGTTACTTCTCACACTGTTTACCATTCCTCCGCGCAAGTCCGGGCTCCCACAAGTTTGGAGGGAGGAGAGTTCAGGTGTAAGGAATACGGGCCCGCTGAATCCTCAGTCTAACGAATGGCGGCAGCTCGTGCGTCCGGGGCACCCCCCAAGTGCCTGGCGCTGGGTCCGTGCAGAGGCGGCAAGTCGACGCGCGCTCTGGAGCTGCACCCTTGTCTCCACTGCCCGCCCAGGCTGCACGAATCTCGCAGGCAGTGATTCCGACTCCCTACCAGCTTCCAAACAAAGGGGGCGCGCGGAGCGTCTGAACCCCTGAAGGGGGGCTGGATGGGGCACAAGGGCGCGGGAGGGTGTGAGGAGTATAGCCGCAGGGTGGCGAGAGCCTCAGAGTCTCCGCCGCCGACTCAGCCCCCGGCAGGCGCGACAGCCGCCTTGAGAGCCGGTGGCGATGGGCACGGGCTGCAAAGCGAAACCGAGGAAAGGGCGCCCCCTATGGCCGCGCCCTGTGAGCGCAGCGGCGAGCCGCGTCTGCCCACCCCGCTGAGCGTGCGCCGCCTGTGGCCTCCGCGCCCGCCCGCTCGCGGAGCCGTCCGGGCCACCGGGGCCCAGTGTGCCAACGCCGGCAGGCTGGGGGCGCGGCGGCGCCACAAGCCGGGGGCTCTCCACGCCTTCCAAGGCTCCCGCAGAGGGTCCTCCAAACCCAGCGCCCTCCCCCACCGCCTACACTTGCCCTCCAGTACCGAACGGCGTGAAGCCACTGGGAGGCAGCCGCCCCCGCCCCCGCCCCCTGCCTCTGCGTCCCTTTCCCCTTCCCTCTTTCTAGCCTCCTGGGAAACAAAGGGGCTTTTTATAAAGCGGATTGTTGGCGGCAGCGGCGACGGGAGTGGGAAGGAGGGGGGATCTATAAAGACAAGATGAGATGGGGTGGGGGCAGAAGCTGTGCGGCCTCCGGGAGCCCTGGGCGGCGGCGGCCGGGAAGCCCCCGCGGGTGCGCGGTCGACCCCGCCCGGCCCGTGGGCACCCGGCTGGCGGCCGGCGCCTGCCTAGGACTCGGCTGTGCCGCTGCGATGCTGCCTGCTGGCTCACCGCAGCCCGGGAACACGCTCGCCTGGGCCTCGGGTCCGGGGCCGGTAGGGGCGGCGCGATTCTCGCGGGGCCTCCCCCGGGAGACCCCGGCCCTCTTCCCAGCCAAACTCTTTCGAAATTGCACGGGCTCCGGAAGACTTTGCGCCTTTGTTCCAGCGCAGCCGCCTCTGGTACGCTCGGCTCGCTCGCCCTCACAATGTCCCGGAGCCGGCCTCGATCGGCTACTCGAAACGGCGCGCTCGCCGTGGGGACAGAGCCCCAAGGGGCTTTCCCTTTGCTGCCCAACGCAACTACAAGTCATCCCAGCAAGTGGTTCTCCTCGTCCCCCAGCCATCCTGCGCTCCTGCCCATGCACACACGCACACCCACACTCGGGGCGCCTTGCTGAGCCGCACCCAGCTGCGGGAGCGCTGCGGGGCGAAGCCGCCGGCCCGAGGTGCGTCTATTTGCTCAGGTTCCGACGACTTCAGGGCAGTTTACTAGCAAGCTAATCCTAATAACCTGAGTGTCTGCTCAGTCCGCATTTAATCGCGTATCAAAATAAGAGGGTACAGCCAGCTTTCCAAGCGGCCTCGGACACACTGCATCGGGACGTAGCCGGCCGAGCCAACTGGCCACGAAAAGTATTTGGCTGCGCTCCGGGGGGCTTCCCGCCCGCCCTGGCCGGCGCCGGGCTCTGAGGCCGCCCCTAGGCCTGGGAGCTCGCAGCGCGGGAGTGCCGGGAGCTCCGGGCAGGAGCCCAGTCGGAGCTGCCTCGAGCCGCCAGCTCTACTCCGAGCTGCTCCCCAGAGAACGATTTGGCAAGGGAGGGAGCGCAAGGCAGCGGGCTCGGCGCGCACACACTCCACACTCCCGCTCGGTGGCGGCAAAGCGGGTTGGAGTAGGGTGGGGGAAATCCCGTGCCCAGCGCCCATTGCCGACTGGCCTGGGCTCAGGAAGCTGGCAAACGGAAGGCAGCATCGCGGCGGGTGTCCGGGCAGCAAGCAGCCCGAGGGGCGCCGGGTCGAAGTGGGAGCCCTTCCCCTAGTCCGGCAGGGCCGGGGAAGCCCGTGTGGCTAGCGCCCCTCTGCCTTCCCTCCCCGGTACTTAACTGATCTCGTCCGATTCCAGACGCCCGGTGGGCGTTGGGCAGCAGGCAGAGGCCGCAGTCCCGGGCGATGCGGGCTGTGCTCAGCCCGGCCCGGCCCGCCTGGTTAAAGACGGAGGCGGCCACGGGAAGCGCTAGGTGGGCCGTGTGCTCGGAGAAAACTTTGGGGTCCCCTGGCTCCCCTACGACGCGGACCACAAGTGGGGACCGCAAGTGCTCCCGGAGCCCCCAGAGCATTCGGACCTCCCGCGCCCGCCCTCGGCCTTACCGTGCTGCGGAGCTCCCGCGGCGGCGGCAGCGGGGGCAGTGCCCGAGGGGCGGGCAGCCGCTGGCGTGGGCAGGCTGGCCTCGGGCGCCCGCCGAGTGGTCCGGCCTAGCTGCAGATCACCCCCTGGCTAGCGACCGGTGCCCCCGCGCCTGCCCGCCGCCGGCCGCTTCAGCTCGTGGCCAAGTTCATGCCGGCGGCGCTGCAGTGGCGGCCTCAATCCGCTCACTCCATTCCCACCGCCCGGCTCCGCGCCGCGCGCCCGGAAGGTGGAGTTTCGGGGGTTTAAGTTACTGATAGGCATTTCTCACTGCTGTGTCACTCGGAGAGGAGGAGACACGCACGCCGCACACTCACACACCCTCACACTTACGGCGACGAGCGGCTCCGGCCTTAAAGGGGAAGCCGCGCTGCCCCACCCGCGACCCCGCCGGCCCTGACCCCCTCAACGCCGAGGTACCAGGCCCAGATGGGGCCGGGGTCAGCGGGATCGCGTTGGCCGTCCGAAGGGCCTACCGGGCCCTCGAGCCACTCTTTGAAAGGGTAAGGGGCCGCAGGCTGGTTTCGCTGTGGTCGCCTCATTTCTCCAGTCACCTCGGGCCAGAGCAGCTGGGGAGGGCAGGATGGAGGAAAGGGGCACGGGTGCACTTACCTCGGGGGGAGCCGCACGCAGAGGGAGATCGGTGCCTTTGGCGGCAGGTGGTCCGCCTAGACAGTGCGCTGTTGGGGAGAGGCGACAGCGGGGTGACCGAACGCCCCCAAGCACCAGTGGATGGAGCTCGTCCGAGGGCCGCAGGCGGAGCCCCGGGCGCTTGGGAAACCCGCACGCGGCAGGTAGACTTCCCGCGTCCGGGCCCAGCGAGCTGGCGAGCTGAGCGCGCTCCTGCCAGTCGGAGAGCGAGCAGGGAGAGCAGCACTCACCAGCGTCAGAGCGCAAGAGAGCGCGACACGGACAGCGAGGGAGAGACAGAAACTGAGAGAGGCACCGACGGAGACCGAGAGAAAACGACGGTGATAAAGTGGTAGAGAGACACGGGGGCGGCGGATATGGCAGATCCCTGGAGGACCCCGGAGCGTCACAGGAACGAGTGTCTGATCGGAAAGTAGCTTGTTCGATTCCCCCTCCTTCCCCATTCTCAGCAGAATGACCCCCCTAGAGCTAAGGGCCGGCTTCCCCTCTTCCCCGGGAAGGCACTCACGTTCAGTTGGTGGCTGCTGGATGGGTAGCGCCCGTCCTGCTGCCCACCTGTCCGCTCGCTGGCTCCGACCCGGACAGCCCAGCCGACCTGCTGTGACGGCAGTGGGGACCAGGACTCGCAGGTGGCGGCTACTGAGCTGCACCCACCCCACTCCTCGCCTAGCGTTCCTCTCCCGCCGCCTTCCTCCGACTCCCCCCCTCCTCCCATCCCTCCTCCCAGGCGGCCCCCACCCCGCCTCCGCGCGGACCCTGTCTGTGCTGCCCGCACGAGTGCTCAGCCGGGAACCCAGACACGCAGGGGGTCTCCTGGCCCACAGCCCAGGGCAGGCGAAGCCCCTGGCCGAGCTGGGCTGGACTGGCCCAGTCTCCGCATGGGGTTATCCCGGGCAAACACCTGCGGCTTCTGCAGGAATATGGGTTCCTTGTGAACTGCCCCGTGGGCCAGAGCGCGCCGTCTGCCCCTACCCCCGCGCGAAGGCCAGCGGTTCCCCTCCTCCCATCCCTGGGGACTGGCCTGCTCCCCTTCTCCAGGGTCCCCATCCGGGGTGCGTTTCCTAATGTGGACTTACAGGTAGGCGGTGGCAGCTGAGCTCAGCCAACGCGGACGACGCGGCTGGTCCGACAGCAGCAGGGCCTGCTGAGGCTTCTGCCCGCACCTCCGAGTAGCACTCGACCGAGCCACGGTCCAGGAATAAAGGGGTGGGCCCGCCGCCCACTCGGCCCCTCCTTCCCTCACGCCCACGGAAAGCGCTGGGGCCCCTCGGAGAGAACCAAGCGAAGTCCCTTCGTGGGCTGCGTAGATGCCAACGGTGAAGGGCACTTGCCTCCGAGCTTTTTCCAAAGTTTCCTGAGGAGCAGTGTCCGGGCCCAACGGCGGGGGCACAGTTTGTCAGCCTCCTGCTGCTGAGTTCCCTTACCGGGCAGGCACGGTTTAGTGGGGCGCGGTGGGGGCTGCTGGGGAGAAATTCACCTTGGTGGGGCCCAGCCCTGGCTGCTCTGGGGAGGGCCAGCGGCCAGGAGAGGCAGTTGCTGACTGATGATTGAACTGACAATGGCCGGCACCTTCACTCCACCACACATAGACACGGCTGCAGTGGATTCCTGGCCCCTGGCCGTGGGTCCTGCAGGGAGGAGGAGTCATCCTAGGGCCGCCTGTCTTCCTAGCGGGAGAGAGCTCCAGAGTGTCTTGAAGGAAATCTGATGGAATGAAGCACAACCTGGGCTAACTGCTCAGCACAAAGCATTGCACAGCACTCTTAAAATTTGACACCCCATCCCCAAAGTGCAACTAGTCAAGGAGTTGCAGAGATACCTCCACTCCACCCTCACTCATGTCACTTCCCGTCTGCTTTCGCAGTGGGGTGGAGGATGCCCACTGCCCAAGTGTCCTAGAAGCCTGTGAGATCACAGCTGCACCTGTGCCTTGTGCTTGGCACAAGAGACATCTCAAACCACGTGGCCTGAGCTGAGCTCCTGGCCACTCACTTCTCCCATAGTCTGCCACCTCAGTTGATGGTGACTCCATCCTTTAAGCTGCCAAGCTCAATTCCCTGGAGTCTTCCTTGATTTTTCTCCTGCTCACTGCCTCCATCCAGAAAAGCAGGCAAATCTGTTGTCTCCACCTTCAAAATACATCCATAATCCCAGCCTCCTCACCTCCTCCACTCTACCCTCAGGCCCAGCCACCAGCATCTCCGCCTGGATCACTCCAGTGCCACCTAACACATTGCTCTGCTTTCTACCTCTCCCAACCATCCCCTTCCCCGTTCCTGGTCTTTGTGATCTCTGCACGCTTGCAGCGGCTCCCCATTTCACTCGGAATAAAGCTGAAGTGCTTCTGGTGGCCTTGCAGGCCCTGCAGGACATGCCCCCCACCCGGATGACATCATCCTCCCTCCAGCCCTTGCTCATGGCCTCCGGACTCTCCCTCAACACTCCAGGCATATCCCTCCTTGGGGCCTTTGTGCTCTCTCTGCTGGAATGCACTTTCCCAGATATCCATGGGGCTGGCTCCCTCATTTCCTTTAATCTTGACACAGATGTCACCTGGCCACCCCATGTAACATTTCAAAGCACCACACCCATCTCTGGCACTTCCACTCCCCTTCCCCCCTTTGTTTTCTCTCTAATACTTACCACTAGCTGACCTCCTCTATAGGGTCCAACCCAGGAGGGCTGCCGTAGCCTGCTTGCTCACTGCTGTATCCCCAGCTCCTGGCTGGGTGCCTGGCAGGGGGCATCAGCTCAATGAAGGTTAGTAGGATTCTACTTTGCCAGAACTTTTCAGGAAACCCTGGGGGCCACAGGAGGGCACACACACATTGGGGAAGGGCCCCTGGCTGTTACCACGTTTTAAGGAGATTCATGACCTGATCAAAGGTTAAAGACAGAGGTCAGGCAAAGAGCTTTTTTGTTAGTGCCATGAACACAGCATTGGGTCTTGTCACCAAGAGACAATGCGGTCCAATTGTGTTGGGAACAGAGGACCCCTGGTGGTTGTTACCTTGGGAACCCCAAGGTTGGTGGAGAAATGGGAGAGGAGGCCAAAGACAGAGGCTGGCTGAGGGCTTTCTCCTCACTGAGTAGACTGACTATGAGACCCTTTTGTCACCTAAAATGCAGACTGCATGTGGGGCTAACGGCCTCTTCCATTTACTGAGGTTTAGTGTGGGCTATACCTGCGTGAGTCCATGTACCTGATGAGGTATAAGCCACTGTGATCTCCAAGTTCTTGATGAGGAAATGAGAGGTTCAGAGATGAAGGGACATGTCCATGGTTACACAGCTTGAGAGTGACAGAGCAATAAGCAACTGGGTCTCAAGGCTTGGGCTGCTCCCACCTGCCATGTGGCCACTCACACTGAGCATGTGCAGTCCTGGCTAGTGGGTCCAGACGAGGAAAGGAATCCCACAGGGGTCTCAAGGGCTGTCCTCCTGGGAGAACCTCCTGGCCCCATTGCTGAAAGGCTGCCAAGGAAACGGTTGGGCTTGGGCTGTGGGGGTCCCAGGGCACCATGCCAAGACCCAGGTGGACCCCCTTTTGGTCTGACCCACACCTGGAGCTCAAGGGCTATGAAAATAATCAGTAGCCATCTGTCATTTATAGTCATGCTCCTGTGAGCATATACTAAGTTTTTCTGCATTGACACGACATGCTGGGGGCTTACCTGGGCAGCCTCTGGAATTCTGTGGGCGACCTGCCCAGGTGGGGGCCCACGGAGAACAGGCATGCTGGCTGCAGATAAGAGATGCACATCTAGTTGCTCTGTTCATTGTTACTGCTGTGGGTCCCTGCTGCTGATGGCCCTCAATCCCAGCTCCTCAGCCTGGCGGGTAGGGCCCTCCGTAGGTGGGTCCCAGCCACCATTTCCAGATTTATTTCTGGGTGCTTTCCCACATACCCTAGGGCCTCCTGCCTGGCTGGACTATTGATTGGATACCAAACAAGTCCTGGTTCTCTCTGCCTCTACAACCTTGCCCATGTATTTCCCCTACCGAAAATGTCAGCCTTCCTGTCAAAATCCCACCTGACCTTCAGGGTTCACCTCACAAGCTGCCTCCTCCTCCTGCTCCCCCTTGGGGAAGCCTGGCATGAGTCCCATCATAGCACAGCACAGCGTGCCCCCTCCAGCCATCCAGGGCCTTGCCTGTGTTTCTCTGACTCTGTAGGCCTTTGCCCTTGGTTCTTCCTGTTCTGCTGCTTCACCAGAGACTTTGGGGGTTCTCCCGAGCCCTCCCTGATGATGAACTCATGGCTGACCCATGGCTGTGGTGGAGGGACTCAGGGTGCCCTGGAGGGCAGAATCTGGATCCAGGGGGAGGGAATAGGTGATGAATTTGGCAGGGCTGAGCACAGAGTCTGGCATCTCCCCCCTTCCTGCCACTGCACATGTGCAATGGCTGTTGGCTGTGCCCACCTGGAGGTCACACCCTCTGCTTGCTCCCCCTGCCTCTGCTCCTGGCCTCCTACAGCCATGCCCCACCCGCACAGAGGCCACACCCCACAGCATTCGCTCAGGGTTTATTGGCTCCTCCTCAGCATACAATCCTGACCTCCATGGCCACAGCA